ATAAAATCATGTTGTCACTGCTTAATATGACTCATATGATGATTTATTTGTCTTTCAATTTACAGGTGTTTTCTATTGTCATGTATAAATAACACTCCTCTGCAACATTACTAAATGATTCATGTTATCCAAGATTTTCTGAAACCTCCAGTTGTGCCAAGGTCTCTGCAAGCAACATGCATCCATTTAATCAGATTTTCTAATAAGCTTTTCATAATGTCTAGTAAATGCAGAATAATAAGCAACCGATGTCCATTACTGTAAATGTTTCTAGTGTATAACCTGTCTCATCCTTTGTCAAACCAAAATAATGGAACTGAGGCTTTCACAATATCTGACTGAAGACCTGACTTTGTAACTAAATAAAACATCAGAAATTGCATATTTGTTACATGCTTCATACTTTTGAAATATTTTAATTTCATTTCAAAAGGTATTTCTTTTTCTTTTGATGAATATAAATCATCCCTTTTTGCACTTTAGGGAATCATGAAAAACAGCACATCCTCTTGGTGTTAAATTGTTAATCGCACTTCTGTACACCCCCATTTGTAATGTGCTCTACAAGCAGCAGATCAGTTATGCATTAAATTTCCAATTCATCTAGCCTCATAATTACATCTGCCAAACACAACACAAAGACAGCAGTTACTGAGTTTGGCCCAGGCATGAGAAAAGATTAAAGGTTAAACTCATTAATATAAATTCCCTCTGTCATAATACTAAATAAAAAATGGAAGAGGACCATGGGGCAAATAATCAATAACTGAGTTCCTGTATTCATCACATACAAAATTAAAAACTAAGTGGTATTCTTCCTTTCAATTTACAATCAGCACAAACATAAACGGAAGTTAGAACTTAGGCAGAAAATACAATCCAAGGAAGCTAAGTAAATATGGTTTTCAAACTCATTCCACAATTAGATGCACAATCTATAAGAAATGTCGACAGAAGTAAAAAGTGGCAAACAGAATCTTTACCTTAGGTTAGTGGGCTATTGTCCTCAAAAAATTTTTATAGTCCACATTATAACCAATAAAATTTTGCCACGTTAAGTCAAAAAATACACAGGCAACAACAAGCAATGAACTGCTTTACACAATACACCTAAAAATATTTGCAATTTTATACTTCAAGCAAGTAATTCAAACTTTTCCCCACAGAAAACCTACAGAACAATAAGACTCCCAATATTCTTTTCACCAACACAAAGCAAAGGCCAATCCAAGCATGATTATACTAAAGTAAGGAATATTTTCTACCCAGTTATGAACTTATTTTTCCTCACAAATGTAAATTTGAGCTCACAAGCATACTGTAAGTATCAAGAATCTCTGCTTCCAAAATACTTTGCTGCACAACAGGAATTTATATCTAAGGTAACACAAATGTTGCATAAAGAAAGATGACTTTTGGACTAAAAATTCAAATGGGTGAATACTTTTGAAATACCAGATTTCTTTTTAATCTAACTTCTGGCTTCAGGTGTATTCAAAATCTTGGGATGGAATTCTTGATTTTTTTAATTTTAGTTAAAAGTAGATATGAGTTAAAAAGGTGGTACAAACTAAGTAAAAATTGCCATCAGACTACTCTTCCATGTTTTGTGCTGTTGAGTGCCTACACGTCTAAGAATATGTTAAATGAAAATCTGCAAAATGTGAGAGTAAAAGTTAAGTTTCAATCTTAAAGTAATTAATGAGAAACTCATACATGTTTCTTGGAATAGAAGGAAATTGAAAAAATGGAACATTTTACTTCAGGGTAGGACAAATGTCAATGAACTTGTCAAGCAAGATTTATTTCTATCACCAAAATAGTGATGAGAGTGAATTGCAATATTGCACAAAATGCGTCAGTTTATACAACATTGGTATATCTGACAGCTACTGTGTTTAATAACTGTGTAAAACCATGCAACTGCAATTGTATGAGTGCAAACTTATAAACTGCCCCTGCCATTTTAGCATTACTGTTGTCCTCAAGTCTGTTTAACTTCTGACATTCGTTCTACTCTATCTGTAATTATTTGCTTTCATTTACCATTAAAATTATCATAGCATCTTCCGTTGCATTCCCTTACTATATTTGTTATTGTAGTTTCTGGCATTTTATTCTGTTCCCAATAAATTATTTAACTTACAGCCATATTGCGCACATTATCTTGCTATATTTTTATACAGTCTCACAGTGTTTATGTCAGAATCACTGTAACATTGCAGTTTGGCATAATTATTTTCTCTTTGCTCTCAGCCTTACATGCTTCACCCTATTGGGCTTTATCAGTTCAATGTCATTATATTCGAGACAATACAATGATTAATGTACATTATATTGTTGATTATTTATATTTTTGTTGCGTTTGAAAACAATAATTAGATTCATACTATAAAAAATAACATTCAAGAAAGTTACACTTGTGACTGATGGGAAACTACAAGAAAAAGTCAAAATTCTCAAAATGTTATGCATGTTTGGTGACCTATTTCTAATCATTTTCAACATGGGAATCAGGACTCTCTGCATAACCAGGACTTGAGTTATTCCACATTTTTTTCCAAATTTTACTCATATTCACTGCAAAATTTTACAAGTTGCAACTCAATAAACAATTCTGAGGCAGTTATAAATGATTAGTTCCATCGTAATTTATGAATTTTAGCAAAAATATGCAATTGAGAAATTTTTCAAAAAAATTCAATCCCTTAGAATCAATGGCAGTATAAAATGGATTTCAAAAACAATTTGGGAAATGTATGTTTCTATAATACATAGAAAACAATATTTCTACATAACTACTTTGTTTCTGAGAGAAAAAAATCAATAGGCCATACAATCATATAAAGATTCAAAACTAAAAATGGGCAAAATTATTATGTGGAATTTATTATCATGAAAATCTCTCAAAATGGTACTTGTTCTCTATGTATAATATTAGTGGAAAATGGCAAACAACAAATTCAATTAAATAAAATATTCAGACAATGTATAATACATTCATGAGTGAAAGGGTATTGCCATGATATTTCTTCTTTAATAAAAGGACAGTGGTTGATGGGAAAGATGTGCTTTATATTGTGTTTTTAGGTTCAGTAACCCTAACCTTTTTGGTGTTGGAAACTGCATGTCTCATACAATACATTGCACTGCAGAAACGTTCCTTTGTTTTTCAAGAAGATAGTCAATGTAATATTTTCATCATAGAAAAAAAAACATTATGTATTTTGCACATCCACTAACAATCATTGAAAACTGTCATTACATTGTGCATCGAGACAAAACAAAATGTATACTGTGATTCCACTGAAACATTCATCTTTTAGACCTGGGCGTGGCAATACGTGCATCCAACAGCATGGCTTCATTTTGAAACAGGCAAAATTAGAGCCAATCTTTCATGTAGTTTCCCGTCCTTCGTAACACGAAGTAATTACCAGAGGCCCATAAAACCGCAAGCCATCAAATGAACTGCTGTATGCAAGTGGGAAAATGGTACTTAATATTCCTAATTTTTAGCATTAAAAATAAATCAGTAGGGAGAGTTAGCATGAGTATTAATGAAATTAACCCACAGAAATAAATCATTACACACTGTAAATTTGTCTTTTCTATCATATAAAAAGGAATGACAGTAACAGACAAGGAAAGCTAACAAATTAAATGGACATCTTATTTCATTAAATCAATTTTGTCGGTGTTTCACTATCAAGAATCTTAAATCTATTTACCTTTCAGAGATAAATGACCCATAAATGAAAGCAGGGCATGTAATATTTTAGTGAATTTAGTGGGCTGTTTATTATTTTTAATTGTAATTCTGCTAATTCTAAAAATGATATAGAAAATCTGTGAATGACACATATTAAGTTTAAAAGAATTAACCACAAATACACTCACAATCTATATTTTGTAAGGTAGTGGCATGATAATAAAAAGTTGTGATATTAATATTTTAAAAATTCATTTGTGATATTAGCAGTTTAACATTATTTTAATAGAATTTCCAGAGAAGTATTCAATGGAGAAGATGAGAGTCTCACCTACTGGTTGTAAAATCTGCAAGAGTCCTATGTCATCTCTTCTTGGGAAAGCCCTCTTTGTAATGTGTCAGTCAAGTACTTCACCAGGCAACAGAGTGCCTTCATTAGGATCAAGGAGGCCAGAGGTGGATAACCCCTACCAAAGGCTTTTGGCCATTATAGGCCAGCAACATTTCATTGTTCAAGTTCCAGGGACTGCTTCTCAGTGTTTTCCCCCTCCCCACACCCTACAGTCACAATGCCAGGTATCTCAATCTGACACTGAAAGGGATGTCCCAGAAAGGTTGCCACTGGTTGCTTTTCAGGTTTCCCACACACATGTATCCTCACCCACCACTATATGAATATGAGCCATGGCAGGATGAAGCCTCAGATTTATTCAGAGCAGTGGTGGGAAGGCAGTGGATTCACCATCTGATACCCTCCCATCTGATTAAATTCCCTCTTGCCACCAAACTCGCTATGGGAGAGGGTATTAAATTCCACCCTTAGTTTTTACATCCATGAGTGGGAATTAACTTGCAGGACTGAAAATGAGCATTTAGAAATATAGCTAGCACTTGAAATTTCTTGCACCAAATTGAATCACTTAGTCTTTTAAATCAAATTTATTTCCTCATAATTGTGCTGCTGGCATTTGAATGCATTTTTTTAGAAAATGTTATTTTTAAGTTTATGATCTAGCTTTAAATAGAAATATTACAGAGGCCTTTGAGCCTTTGATGATACAAAATGTAAGAGTTTAAGGTGTCAGTTGTATGACCTAGACATAAAGGGAAACAAATTAAAATTGACTTATATTAGAAGATGTCAGTGAATAAAGCAAGATAATTGCAATGGATATGAAGGATTTTGTCTCAGTTAAATTTCAAGCAATTGGATCATTGTTCTCCTACTACTACCAAAAGCTGTAAGGATTTGTAAAAATTAATGCAAAAGAACTTGTAGTCATCTTACCTTCACTGCAGTCTTTTCCTTGAAAGCCAGTGTGGGAACAATCACAGATTGCCTTCTCCTGTACAACAGAGCAAGTTCCTCCATTTAGGCATAGACTGTGATTTGTGCAAAGATAATTTTCATCCATCTTGATTCCTTGACCATCAATGAGTGTCGTAGTCCCATTTCCAACCTTGAGGTCAGTTATTAATCCCTGGAATGGTTCTTGACTTCCTACTGATGTTGATGTTAATGATAGTACCGATGAATGAAATTCTGGTGGAATTCCACCAATATATAATTTGCTAAAGACTGTCATGTCTCGTCTCTTTGACTTCACTTCAACTGTTTTGATCTCTTTGTCTACTATTAATGTTGTCTTCCTGAAATTCCTCTGAATAACTACAGTGTGCCAAATACTATCATTCACTTTAGTATCTGACTGTAGAACAGCTGGTTCAGCACAGAAAATTGAAAAGCGAAGTTGAAGGTATCCATCAACAATTAGGAGTTCTAGAAAATCACAGAATCCTTCATCATCAAAGTAAACCAGTAGACTACTGGAAATGTTGGTCTTCATATTAAAACTCATCTCACTTTCACAGCATGCATTCCACTTTGGGAACCTTGCCCACTGTCCTGCAGCTCCAGTAAATTCTAAACTGACCCCAAGGTTAACAAGACATCCAAAAAGCAAGCCGAACCAAAGCAAATGACCTTTCTTCTTGATGACAACAGCCATCTTCGTAAGTGCAGTGTGATGTTGAATAATATACAGATTGCAAAATAATTTGTAACAAAAAGAGTCTCTCACGTTTTGTAGATATGCCGTGTGTCACAAAGTTTTATCCCTTTGTGAATCCAACAAGTTAGTTAAGCAGTTGTCCAGGAAAAATAAACACCGATGGCAGACTTTTAGATTAGGGATTAAATACAATGAGTCAGCAGAACAAATTGTATCAGTGGCCCATATCCACAGTGGATATTACTCAGTAATCAGACTACACAGTTTTCTTTTTGTAGCTCCAGATCAGAAAACAACTGGTGTTTCGATTTTCTCTGGAAAATGAACTCATCCACATTTGGGTCAGACAAGATGACTTTCTTCAGTTTCGTTGGTGTATTTCCTGTCAGTAATCCCATTAAAATAACAAAATTGCTCTGTGTGACAGACTCCAAGCACAGATCCTCAGATTCATGCCATCATGTTAAAACAGACACTCTGAGTCATCATTCGTGGCTTCCTGGGCTGCCTACTTCCCAGTGGTGCTGAAAAATCATAAACCATCAAGTAGCTCAGCAGCTACTTGACATGCAAAGCCTGTCAGCAAGTCTTCCTTCCAGGGCTAAAAGAGTGATTCCAGCATTTACAGCAGCTTCAACACAACTCACAATCTGCAAGGAATGAAAGCAATAAATAATAACATGACCCTAGCTCAGTTTAAAACCATCTTACAATAATGTGTGTGAACGACGCCCTACAAATGCTTGTTACCGAGATAAATCATAATCCACTGTCTATGCAGTAATGAATGCATTGGAAACTTTAAACTTATTTATTGTTAACACAATAATTAATTGCTCGAGTCATAAAACAACTCAGCCAAAAAATCCAACATGGAAGTCACTTCTTTCAATTACTTGTCCATATCTCAACGTCAATCTTGTTTAACCAGTAGTCATTAAAATAGTCTTTAATCTTTTCTTATTCAATGAGACAATTGGTTCTTACACTGGTTGATAAAGATCTGCATCATAATTTTTGACACTTATTGCAAGACAATAGAATTCGGTGATGCACAAGGCACTTTAAAGTTAAATTAGTAAATAGCATTCTTTGTACCTTATGTTGCTGCATAATGTTATCAAAAAGGAAATGGTAGCTTAAAATTATTAACATCAGCAAATTTAATTGCACTCTTGTTTCTGTTACACTGGAGATACTAGTGATACTGCTCAGTTTGTCATTACTTATATTTTAAAATTCACACAAACAATTAGAAGGTAAGGAGGATGTTGACAATACATCATTGTATTCTCACCAAAAGTGTATCTTAGCATAACTATTTATTCATGAACACTGCTCTGGTAACCTTGAGCTTACTGTTAGAACACCCTAACTACACTGGTAGAACATTATCGGAAAACTAAGATGTTTTAAAAACAGCCGCTATGGTACAACTTGTTAGGAACAGTTTGGAAAGGGGAAACGCGCTGGGAAAACATATCAATGTCAACAAAGGATACAGAATTTCAAACACCGTGATTATCTGCATTCATCGCTCCCGATTTAACGCAGATATTCCAGTTATTTCTTTGATAGGGCATAACCACTGAGAAAGGTTGGACGAAATTTGCAAATTTATAATGGTTAACTGTATAGTGATCTACTTGTAAGGTTCCGGTATTATTTAGACGAACGTATGTCTGGCTATTCTAAAACAGTCTAAAGTACCTTTCTTACAACCCATTTCCAAAACAAAAGCTTGTTGTTTTGTCACAAACCGCCGTTTAATATTCAAGTTAGTACAAGCACGACTCGGAACGATTTATATATATTTAATTAACGCCTTTTTAAAATAAAAAAAAATCCCAGCAATAAATATTGCTGTACAGTAGTGGGTTATAATCTTCACCGAGGAAAGAGGAGACGCATCCCAACGCAGTCAGCTCAGAGCGATCTTTACAAGTGTTGCTACTCAACACCGGGACACTCGATAATATTAAAGTCAGGGGGACACCATTTACTAAATTACTTACCTGGGGACAGCGAGCATTTTGACTGCTTTCAGTCCTAAACTGAACATCAGTAAACTATAACAAGAAATGTGAAAACAGCCGGAGGCGATCTAAATGTGGCACAAACCTTAGACTTATTTGATCGTGGGCTGTTTGGTTTAGGAAATCCACATTTAGGAAGAATTTTACACGCACAGAAATGCAGCGAAGATACCATTATGTATCGTCTTACATATCGTCTGGACATCACAATCGGGAGTTTGGTCACAGGATAAAGATTATTCCACTCTCTATTTTGTCTGAATGGAAACGCCGTTTCGATTTGTTCTAAGCGGTAATAGTGGACATTCAGTAAGGGAAGCCGGAACTATTTAACATTCATGCACCGTAAGGGGAAAAAAGAAGCCCTTTTCACAATGTTCTTCACAGCGGTATCTGAGATGAGTCGTTAATTTGTCAGCAAATTCTGACCACATGTTATAGCCTTACCCTCTCCCCCCAAACCAACTATAAACTCGGAATTTCATTAATTTGCGGTTAATTCCAGTATTTAAATCCTAGCCCTGTAAAAAAAATCTGCCTCGTACGAATAGTGAGGAAAAACACGGTCGAAACATGTCAAAAAACATTCCACTCACAGTGTCACGTTCATTACCAGGCGATCCTTTCCCTGCCACCTCAGATCAAAGGGGAATTATCTTGTAATTACACAAACGATATATACAAATCCCGTGCCAGCGTTTCTAAAGGGTTACCAGCTCATCACATGTAGACACGCAGCATCCTCCTCATTCCATACACACACAACACACACGCATATTTTACATGTTATCGATGGGGAAACCTTGCTCAGCCGCCGAATAAACCCCAACTGTCCATTCAAGGAAATCAAATGTCCATGCAGTAACCTCCACATCAACGAAACGCAGGTACACAGATACACATCAAATCAGTACGTCCAATTCATAAAAGCGTGTGTCCAACACCGCCTTCACCAGCGCACTATACATGTCGGTTTTTACCTACAGCATCTGTGCACCGCTATGCCCGTATCTGTTAGGGCCATAGTCTGTGTAGCTTCGTTCCTGCATTGCATCCGATTCAAACATGGAGTTTTTTTTTTACCTGCAGTACATTCCCTGGTCGTTAGAGATGGCTCTGGGCTTTTAAATGTGAGGTGGGATCACATTGAAATGTTTCCCTGGCTCTCCCGTGGTCTTTCTGCTGCTTGGTTCTCCCATCTCTGTTTACATTTGCAGGACAGCAGACCCCCCACCTCTGGCTCCAGCTCGCTTTATCAGCCGCTTGCTGAGCTGAGCGCGTCACTCGGGCGTTTTTCTCGAAGCGAACCAGCACCGACGCTGCAGGAACAGCAGCAACTCACAAGCGAATCTCTGAATCTCTCCCCTCTCTAAGTCTGTCTTCCCCCTCTTTCACACAGACACACACCGCAACGTCAGAAATCTTCTCTCATCCATTTCTGCCACCACGGAAAGGAAATAAGATAGGAAAGAACCATTCCAGCACCTCCACTAAATCAACACTGCATTAAAGAACTGCTCACCCACATTGAACGCAATTGTTTTGCATTTAATGGCGACCAGGTAGAGAAGTGACACTTGCAAGAAGACACCTTAGGGTGCGCTTCAATACAAGTCTAACGATGCATTCAACATCCCCCCGCCCAACAACCGAACTTGGAGCTAATGTTGCTTCAGGTTTGGAGATGGAGTCACACCGAACACAATCACAATACATTTCAATGAGTTTCAATGATGGTGAGGACAGCTAACACTATTACATCCGAACCTCTGCACGATGCCCAACAAAAAAAAAGTTTTGATTTTTAAAACTGACCTGCAGGTGGGGTAACAAATTCAGGAAAGATTTACCAGCAACTATACATTTGCTCCTTTGTCTTCCCGTACACTATCAAGCTTTTGCAACCTATCAGGAGTGGTTCAGTGGGTAGTACTCCGCCTTCTGCTTCAGAAGGTTGTAAACTGCAAGTTCTACTCCAGGATTTAATGCAAAAATATGGGCTTTTTTTTCTGAGCGAGTACCGGAGGTGTGTTGCACCTCAAATAAAATGTTAATCTGGGATTTCCCGGCTGGATATGAAACATCCCAAGGTATTCTTTTGAAGAAAAAACATGGGAGTTACCCCGGACCCCTGACCAACATGTAAACCTCAAATCAGATGAACTTCCTTGACTAGAAAGGACTTGAGATATCCAGTGGTTGTAAAATGCACTATATAAGTACACGTCTTCCTTTTCCCTTTTGAACAACAGATATGGCCAGGAAATCTCTTGAAACTGACCATGACTGCTTTATTAGACGCCATAGTATTAGCAACGCTGCTCTCTCATTCGAGAGAGACGATTGGTGGTAGTTTAACCTGAGGGTCACTACGCCTCAGGCAAGGGGAGAGGTCGAAAGGTCTTTCATAGTAACCTCATACGGTGGGTGGGAATTGAACTCATGCCGTTAGTATCTGGATCACAGACCAACAATCCAGTAGTCTGAACTAACTTTACGGGGGTGAGCAGCAGTTCATTTTGCAACCCTTGACTGCTTTATTTGATGTGCAGTTCCGAGCCTACGCTGGGAAATTTTATCAGAAATTTAGTATTGCACGCTTTATCTAAATTTCTTGGCAAAATGTCTATCAGTGACTTCAGCAGTGATGTGGCCATTGGCTTCCTCCATCGGCATCTTATTTATTAATTATAAATCGCAATTTTGGATGACCCAAGTATAGAATTAATACATTTAAGTCCCCTGTAGTTTACTCAGCTTGATCGTGTGGGAAAAGTATTTTGAGTTATGGATACATTCAGCTACCATATTGGGAAACATTTAAAATTACAGATTTTTCTGACCATTTTGAAGATAAGGTTATTAACTGTAGCTACCTACAATGTCACAGATTAAACAAACAGTGGTGTGAGGTAAAGAAGGGTGAAATTAGATTCTATTTCACCCATTGTTCCTGAAATAAAATGGTGACAAATATATCCAATTTCAGGGGCTTGAGACCAACATAGCAACGGCATCTGAATTATGTCCAGTGCCATATTCGTCTTGGCAATATTCTGAGAGTCCTAAATGGCCACCTAAAACAGGTATTAGGCACCTTGCATATGCAAAATCTACATTTAAACATTCCAGTTTTTAAGTGTCAACAA